ATGGAGTAAAAAGTACATTATTTTCTTTAGGAATGTAGTGAAGCAAAATAAAAAGTTGTCAAAAATATGAATAGTAAATTAAAGTACAGATACCCCAAAAAACTACAGTGCCTTGCAAAAGTATTCATCCCCCTTGGCATTTTTTCCTATTTTGTTGCATTACAACCTGTAATTTAAATGGATTTGTATTTGTATTTCATGTAATGGACATACACAAAATAGTCCAAATTGGTCAAGTGAAAATAAATAACTGAAAAGTGGTGCGTGCATATGTATTCACCCCCTTTGCTATGAAGCCCCTAAATAAGATCTGGTGCAACCAATTACCTTCAGAAGTCACATAATAAGTTAAATAAAGTCCACCTGTGTGCAATCTAAGTGTCACATGATCTGTCACATGATCTCAGTATATATACACCTGTTCTGAAAGGCCCCAGAGTCTGCAACACCACTAAGCAAGGGGCACCACCAAGCAAGCGGCACCATGAAGACCAAGGAGCTCTCCAAACAGGTCAGGGACAAAGTTGTGGAGAAGTACAGATCAGGGTTGGGTTATAAAAAAAGATACGAAAGTTTGAACATCCCACAGAGCACCATTAAATCCATTATTTAAAAAATGGAAAGAATATGGCACCACAACAAACCTGCCAAGAGAGGGCCGCCCACCAAAACTCACGGACCAGGCAAGGAGGGCATTAATCAGAGAGGTAACAAAGAGACCAAAGATAACCCTGAAGAAGCTGCAAAGCTCCACAGCGGATATTGGAGTATCTGTCCATAGGACCACTTTAAGCTGTACACTCCACAGAGCTGGGCTTTACGGAAGAGTGGCCAGAAAAAAGCCATTGCTTAAAGAAAAAAATAAGCAAACACGTTTGGTGTTCGCCAAAAGGCATGTGGGATACTCCCCAAACATATGAAAGAAGGTACTCTGGTCAGATGAGACTAAAATTGAGCTTTTTGGCCATCAAGGAAAATACTATTTCTGGCGCAAACCCAACACCTCCCCAAACATATGGGTTGTTATATAAGTTGCTCTAGTATTGGTAAATGTTTAAATGTAGTAAATTATATAAAACAACCCATATGTATTATTTTTTTATTCCGATGTGTTTCCAGTGAGATGACCCAGACTTCAGTAATATGCGTACGGCATGCAGTAGACACTTCGAACAGCTGTGATGTCACGTGTGCACATGTTCCTCTTATACTCTCTCAGCGTCGACTAGTTAAGAGGAATTACCATGACCATTACCACAGGACATCTGGACACCTCCGAAACAGTCAAATAGGAAGACATGGTAGTGGAGCGCACCGCTACCATGTGACACCCAGTAAGAGATGAGAAATGTGGAAATGAAAGCCTTCCGTAAATGTTGCATTAGTCATTTCTTGCAAAGAAGTTGAAGCATCACCGTTGATGGAAACCCTGAACAGAAAATGAAACTCACCCAATTCAGGCCTACATGTGTACTGGAAACAAAGTGATTCAGACATGATTGTTTCCATGCTATTTCACTTATGTTATTAGGCTACTGCACTGTAATCATGTTGCATCAAATAGCTGTTGACATACGTATACAGTTTTCATCTCAATTTATCCCGGGTTTAAACCAATTAACCAAACATTAACAATAAACAACAAGGTTTGGTTCAGTAGTGTTGCGTGGGTAAAATCACTGGGGAAGCCAAGCCAAGCCAGTAAAAAGGCCATATTACAACCTCTGTTGTGATAATTGCGTTGTTTGCTCTATAACCTATTTGTTCATACACCACCGTGACATACAATAAGGCCGTGACAACAAAAAGACAACAGTCACAAAGTGTGGTGTTCCCAAAAGGCATGTGGGAGACTCCCCAAACATATGGAAGAAGGTACTCTGATCAGATGAGACTAAAATTGAGCTTTTTGGCCATCAAGGAAAACGCTATGTCTGGCGCAAACCCCACACCTCTCATCACCCTGAGAACACCATCCCCACAGTGAAGCATGGTGGTGGCAGCATCAGCATCATGCTGTGGGGATGTTTTTCATCAGCAGGGACTGGGAAACTGGTCAGAATTGAAGGAATGATGAATGGCGCTAAATACAGGGAAATTCTTGAGGGAAACCTGTTTCAGTCTTCCAGAGATTTGAGACTGAGACGGAGGTTCACTTTCCAGCAGGACAATGACCCTAAGCATACTGCTAAAGCAATATTTGTGTGGTTTAAGGGGAAACATTTAAATGTCTTGGAATGGCCTAGTCAAAGCCCAGACCTCAATTACATTTACGTCATTTAGCAGACGCTCTTATCCAGAGCGACTTACAGTTAGTGAATACATTTTATTATTTTTTTTATACTGGCCCCCCGTGGGAATCGAACCCACAACCCTGGCGTTGCAAACGCCATGCTCTATCAACTGAGCTACATCCCTGCCGGCCATTCCCTCCCCTACCCTGGACCAATTGTGCGCTGCCCATGAGTCTCCCGGTCGCGGCCGGCTGCGACAGAGCCTGGATTCGAACCAGGATCTCTAGTGGCACAGTTAGCACTGCGATGCAGTGCCTTAGACCACTGCGCCACTCAGGAGTCTCAATCCAATTGAGAATCTGTGGAATGACTTCAAGATTGCTGTACACCAGCGGAACCCATCCAACTTGAAGAAGCTGGAGCAGTTTTGCCTTGAAGAATGGACACAAATCCCAGTGGCTAGATGTGCCAAGCTTATAGAGACATACCCCAAGAGACTTGCAGCTGTAATTGCTGCAAAAGGTGGCCCTACAAAGTATTGACTTTTTTTTCTTATTTCTTGTTTGTTTCACAATAAAAAATACTTTGCATCTTCAAAGTGGTAGGCATGTTGTTTAAATCAAATGATACAAACCCCCCCAAAATCCATTTAAATTCCAGGTTGTAAGGCAACAAAATAGGAAAAATGCCAAGTGGGGTGAATACTTTCGCAAGCCACTGTATCATGTGGCTGTCCATGGTACTGATTTCTGTGTGTGTGTGTGCGTGCGCAAGTAACACCATTTTTTTTCACTCACCCTACTTGTAGACTAGTTGAACGCCATCATCCTCTCTTTCATGTTGGCAAAACGGTCTATGGCTATGTCATGCAGTACACTTTGAGTTTTTGTTGTCATAGGCTACCTAGCTAAAATGCTTGCTAGCCTAACTTCCTCACATGGGCAACAATGAACCAACTAAGTTATCTAGCTAGTTAACGTGAGCCTACTAGGCTACATCTAGGCTACATATTGAACTTCAATCGTCGTCTCAGGCCAGTGGCAAAACATATGAATGTATGGTTAGATCTGAATCTCCGTCATAATAATTGGCCTGTACAGAGAATTAAGTCAAAACCACACGTCCAAATCCCCATTTCCATCCATGGCTCAGGAAAGGGCCGATTTAGCAAGCTAGCTACTGCAGGACATCAACACAAGCAGACTAGAAAGTGACAAGTTTTTCTGAAAATGACGTTTTGTTTAGGAAGTGATTTGATTGGTATGAAGCCAAATCCAAACTGGCCTCCCTTGGGGGACGTTTTGCTGCACCAAGACAACCCATAGTTGAGCTCAGCTCAACGCTGATTGGCTAATTATTTTGATTAATCAATTAATCAAATGCTACGGCGGCAACATGTTATACTCTTTTAGTCCAGACAGCATCAGATACATGGGCTACACATAATGGGACAGAGTAATGCCATTTCCGTCGCTCAGGTGATATTACCAGTGAGATTCACCCACTTGTGAATTGAAAGAAAATTATCAAAACATTTGTAAGTATTTTCTGCCCTGTCACAACATACTGTAAAGACAAATGTAAGTATTGTCTGCCCTGTCACAACATACTGTAAAGACTAATGTAAGTATTCCTTCTACAATAAAGAAGATCTAAATGACATGATGTTCCCTAAAACAAAGAAAATGTTCTAGTGTGATTTCCCACACCCTGTTTTCTTCCAGTAAATTGACTGGTAAGCATTCTCTGGTCTGTCTCGCCCCCGTGTCTTCCCCTGCTGAAGTTTATGGCTTCGTGACAGGCACCTGACTGAACAATAACCACAGCAAGTACTTAAGCAGAGGACAGAGTGACAGTTATCCATCACCAGCCAGTGGCTTCAAGACATCCTACACACACACAGGTGAGCAGCCACAGACACAGACACAAATACACACACACATGCTTCCTGTGTCAGATAGAAACTAATATTTATTTAAAGATACATATTGTGAGAGAGAGAGATACAGAGAGAAAGAGAAGGAAAGAGAGAAAAACAGAGAAAATAAAGACTGTATGAGAGAGAGATAAAGAGAAACATCTGGTGCATACTGTAGCTCCATGTATGATCTGTCTCCTGTTGTTCTCAGTAAATCTCTGCTGTCTTCCTCCTCAGAATGAAATTGTTGGTAGTTGTGGCTGCTGCTCTGGCAGTGGCTAGTGCCGCTAGCCTCTCATTGGAGGACTTGGAGTTCCATGCCTGGAAACTGAAGTTTGGTAAGAGAAGCATCTCTCTTCACGTCAGCTTGTTTCACTTTAGCTTCTTATCATTGACAACAATGGAGTGTGTGACTATCTCCTCTTTTCTTCATGTTTATTATCAATCTGAACCTCTGCTCTCTCATTATCCTGTTCAAGACGTTGTAGAGCAGGAGGCGACAACCTTTACTTTCATAAGAGCTACTTACATACAACTACAAAATGTCTCGAGCTACTCAAAGCCTGCATATTTTGTTACTATATTTAGAGGTATTTAATAGAGGCGCCTGTTAATCCTGAAAGTCTGGTTTCATTGATTTTTCTATTGTTTCCTCACTGAGGGCCCGATTCAGACTTGAGATAAGTAGACTTAACATGGACTTAAGTCAATAAAACATGGACTTAAATCAATAAAACATGGACTTAAGTCAATAAAACATGGATTTAAGTCAATAAAACATGGACTGAAGTCAATAAACATGGACTTAAGTCAATAAAACATGGACTTACTGTAAGTCAAAAATAGTCATGTTTAGTCAATTTATTTCAAGTCTGAATAAGGCCTTCAGTGAACTGACTTTGACTCCTACAGGGAAGTCTTACAGCTCTCAGGTGGAGGAGGCTCAGCGCATGAGCTCCTGGATCTCTAACCGGAAGCTGGTGCTGGTTCACAACATGCTGGCTGACCAGGGCATCAAGTCCTACCGCCTGGGCATGACCTCCTTCGCTGACATGGTAGGGCCAAGCAACATACCACTGTATAACTAGAACAGCTCACATATTTATATGTAGATTTATGAAGGATAAAATGATTAAATTAGCAAAAGAAGGATCTCTCTTTGTCTGCCCCATTTTCAGATTTACAGCATTCGTAGAAAATAAAGAAAACTGACACGATTATATTGACAATTAAATTGACATGATTTTGATGAACTATGGACTTGTTAATATGTTGTGATCTGTATCCTTTATCTGAACTAAATAGTGAAGTACAATAGAAGGATAGATCCACCCCAAAACAAAGGAAATACATTTCTGAAATAATTGTGTCCAGTGATAATAAATAATTATTATAATGGATTGGATTTATATAGCACCTTTCTACCAACTAAGGTTTTCAAAGCGCTTTACATAGGAAGGGGAAACTCACCTCATCCACCACCAGTGTATCTAATGTAAATGATGTATAAATTAGTATGTGTATCTATTGTTGTGTCCCTCTATCGCAGGATAACGAGGAGTACAGACACGTCATCTCCCTGGGTTGCCTGGGCTCCTTCAACACCTCCAAGCCCCGCGGCGGCTCTACCTTCTTCCCAATGCTTGGGGACAACGACCTGCCCACCACCGTGGACTGGAGGGAAAAGGGCTACGTCACCCCCATCAAGGACCAGAAGCAGTGCGGCTCCTGCTGGGCATTCAGTGCGGTAAGAAAGGGAGAAGGAAGGAAGGGGTTAAGAGAGCGAGTTAACTACAGCCTAAACTCTGCTCTAGTCAGATGTAGTTAAGCAGTGGAGGCTGGTGGGAGGAGCTATAGAAAGACGGGCTCATTGTAATGGCTGGAATGGAATAAATGGAACGGTATCAAACACATCAAACATATGGAAACCACATGTTTGACTCCGTTCCATTTATTCAATTTCAGCCATTACAATGAGACCTCCTATAGCTCCTCCCACCAGCCTCCACTGTAGTTGAGTAATTGGTCAGCCTGTTCTAATACTTGTTCTCTTGTTCTCTGTAAGACATCACAGTACAGTTGAAATATACATGGCAAATAGAAATCCTATATGGATGGTGTTAAAAGATAGATGGGAGGTGTTGAATGGAATTGAAGGATGGGACTAATAACAACTAACAACAAACAATAACAAGATAACTAATAATGTAGGCATGCTGTGTCCATAATAGGTGTATGGGTTGTAGGTTGGGAGCTTTTGTGAAGGAGCATAGTTAGAAAGATATGGCATATAGAAGCAAACCGGATGGACATCATGAAAATGATCGGAGAGGTTGAGAGTAGAAGAAGTTCAGGAGAAAGAACAAACAAAATGTAATTATTGTAAAATTGACTGTGTCCATAAAATGTAGATAGTGGGTATGGGCCGGAAGTAGAGGCCTAGGCGTTGTTGTTCACTAGTTTACTCCAAGTGGGGAAAGGGTGGCGGGGTTGGAAAGTAATAAAGGGGAATATATATATATATTATGAAAGGATATGTATGTGTATGTATGTATGTATGTATGTATGTATGTATGTATGTATGTATGTATGTATGTATGTATGTATGTATGTGGGTGTGTATGTGTGTATATGTACAGTGGGGAAAAAAAGTATTTAGTCAGCCACCAATTGTGCAAGTTCTCCCACTTAAAAAGATGAGAGAGGCCTGTAATTTTCAGCATAGGTACACGTCAACTATGACAGACAAATTGAGAAAAGAAAATCCAGAAAATCACATTGTAGGATTTTTAATGAATTTATTTGCAAATTATGGTGGAAAATAAGTATTTGGTCACCTACAAACAAGCAAGATTTCTGGCTCTCACAGACCTGTAACTTCTTCTTTAAGAGGCTCCTCTGTCCTCCACTCGTTACCTGTATTAATGGCACCTGTTTGAACGTGTTATCAGTATAAAAGACACCTGTCCACAACCTCAAACAGTCACACTCCAAACTCCACTATGGCCAAGACCAAAGAGCTGTCAAAGGACACCAGAAACAAAATTGTAGACCTGCACCAGGCTGGGAAGACTGAATCTGCAATAGGTAAGCAGCTTGGTTTGAATAAATCAACTGTGGGAGCAATTATTAGGAAATGGAAGACATACAAGACCACTGATAATCTCCCTCGATCTGGGGCTCCACGCAAGATCTCACCCCGTGGGGTCAAAATGATCACAAGAACGGTGAGCAAAAATCCCAGAACCACACGGGGGGACCTAGTGAATGACCTGCAGAGAGCTGGGACCAAAGTAACAAAGCCTACCATCAGTAACACACTACGCCGCCAGGGACTCAAATCCTGCAGTGCCAGACGTGTCCCCCTGCTTAAGCCAGTACATGTCCAGGCCCGTCTGAAGTTTGCTAGAGTGCATTTGGATGATCCAGAAGAGGATTGGGAGAATGTCATATGGTCAGATGAAACCAAAATATAACTTTTTGGTAAAAACTCAACTCGTCGTGTTTGGAGGACAAAGAATGCTGAGTTGCATCCAAAGAACACCATACCTACTGTGAAGCATGGGGGTGGAAACATCATGCTTTGGTGCTGTTTTTCTGCAAAGGGACCAGGACAACTGATCCGTGTAAAGGAAAGAATGAATGGGGCCATGTATCGTGAGATTTTGAGTGAAAACCTCCTTCCATCAGCAAGGGCATTGAAGATGAAACGTGGCTGGGTCTTTCAGCATGACAATGATCCCAAACACACCGCCCGGGCAACGAAGGAGTGGCTTCGTAAGAAGCATTTCAAGGTCCTGGAGTGGCCTAGCCAGTCTCCAGATCTCAACCCCATAGAAAATCTTTGGAGGGAGTTGAAAGTCAGTGTTGCCCAGCGACAGCCCCAAAACATCACTGCTCTAGAGGAGATCTGCATGGAGGAATGGGCCAAAATACCAGCAACAGTGTGTGAAAACCTTGTGAAGACTTACAGAAAACGTTTGACCTGTGTCATTGCCAACAAAGGGTATATAACAAAGTATTGAGAAACTTTTGTTATTGACCAAATACTTATTTTCCACCATAATTTGCAAATAAATTCATAAAAAATCCTACAATGTGATTTTCAGGATTTTTTTTCTCAATTTGTCTGTCATAGTTGACGTGTACCTATGATGAAAATTACAGGCCTCTCTCATCTTTTTAAGTGGGAGAACTTGCACAATTGGTGGCTGACTAAATACTTTTTCCCCCCACTGTATGTGTATGTATGTGTGTATGTGTATGTGTATATATATATATTGATTGGAAGTGATGCAGACAATTATATTGATGGAAGTTACAATCTATCTACAATATTAAGCTGATCTACCCCCCCCCCCCCCCAAAAAAATAAAAAATAAATAAAAAATACTTGTTCTCTTTCGTCTTGTGCGTGGTGAGAGAGAAACAATAATCCCCAGTCTGTAAATGTTTCCATTTTTGTATACGGCTGTTTTCCAAACACTGTGGGTTGTGACCCTAAAACTTTGCAAAGGTAAATCTATTAGAATGTGAGTGTCCTTCATTTTACATTTACATCTCCCTGCCAAAGTCTCTCTAACTCCCCCATCTACCGCCCTCCCTCCCTCCCTCAGACTGGATCTCTGGAAGGCCAGTACTATAAGAAGACCAGTAAGCTGGTGCCCCTCAGTGAGCAGCAGCTGGTTGACTGCTCCGGCGATTTCGGCAACATGGGCTGCATGGGCGGTCTCATGGACCAGGCCTTCGAGTACATCAAGTCATTGGCCCCTGGAGGCGTGGATACTGAGGACTCCTACCCCTACCAGGCTGAGGTAAGCAGTGAGCAGTGGGCAGGGTTGTGTTCAAACGTAAAAATTAAAATTAAATCCCAATGGAAAATGAAAATTAGTGTTTCTTATTTTACTTATTAGGCCTTCCCTGTTTAAGTCCATTTTTAATGTCATCCTTCTCCCAGTGTGGGTCCACACGGTGTAGTAGTAGGCTATGACAGGGGTTTTCAAACCTCTCCTCGGGGACCCCCAGCCGTTCCATGTATTTGAACTATTCCAGAGCTAACGCACCTTATTGAGCTTGTCGACTAATTATGAAACCCTTGATTAGGTAAATCAGTGAGCTGGTTTAGGGCTACAATAAAATTGGGAAACGTCTGGGGGTCCCCTAGGAGAGGTTTGAAAACCACTGGGCTATGACGCCTTCTGAATCAAGGAAGTAGCACAACACTGACATCTAGTGTATATGTTTAGCGATGCAATAGATTCTGACAAAAAAGAGCAGACATAGGGAGAGCATTATTTTTACAACGATGCATTTAGGTATGAATTTAATGTTTTATATGAATTTAATGTTTTATATTCGCTATGTTTTATGTGCTTACACAATTTTAATGTAGCTACACCTGTTTTGAAGAAGACTTCATATTTTTACACACAGTCAAAATAATGCTGTGGAATCCCTCATAAAACGTTTCTATGGAAACGCGTAAACAACTAGCAACTAAGCTCCTCTAGTGTTTATTTAACAATGTCTTTCTTTAACAGGACAAGAAGTGCCGCTACAAGCCCGACAGTGTGGGTGCCACCTGCAGCGGGTATGTTGACGTGACCAGCGGTGACGAGAGCGCCCTGCAGCAGGCGGTGGCCACCGTGGGACCGGTGTCTGTGGCTATCGATGCTGGACACTCATCCTTCCAGCTCTACGACTCAGGTGAGGTCTTTTTAGACACACCTCTCTCCGGGCCAATCAGGTTAGGCCTTTTAAGACACACCTCTCTCCGGGGTTCATGTTAGGCCTTTTAAGACACGCCTCTCTAGAGGTATCATGTTAGGCTTTTGAAGACACACCTCTCTCTAGAGGAATCATGTTAGGCCTTTTAAGACACGCCTCTCTCCAGCCTGAACCTACACCTGTCATCTTGGTCACACTTTAAACAAACTATAACCTCTAAGGCATAATGACGCCTTCATAAACCCTTGATGAGCCCACATATATGCTTCAAAAATCTTTTATACGGTCCTGACATCTGGTTCTTTAACAAATGTGGCATAAGCCTTATATATAGTATATAGTATATAGTATGACATTTTATTATGAATGATTTGTGAAGCATTTATATAGGCCTTATAAAGGGCTTATGAAGGCTTCATTGAGACTGACTCCATAACTGATGGTTCATAACTGTGAACTGACTGTGACTCGTAGTTCTGGGTGGCAGGTAGCCGAGCGGTTAAGAGGTTGGGCCAGTAACTGAAAAGTTGCTGGTTCGAATCCCCGAGCTGACTAGGTGAAAAATCTGTCGATGTGCCCTTGAGCAAGGCACTTAACCCTAATTGCTCCTGTAAGTCGCTCTGGATAAGAGCGTCTGCTAAATGACTAAGATGTTATCTTCTTTCTTAGATGTACAGTAAAATCTCCCTGTGTGTTTTGTACATTCAATGCAATGTATTGACGTAGGCGTCAACAACTGTGACGCGTTTCTTTTTGCAAAAGCCTCACAATGTGACACATATAAACTGATACCAAGCTGATATTGTCTGTATATTGAGAATAATGGATTTAATTTAATAATGGATTTAATTTAATAATTGTTTTTTCCCAGGTGTCTATGACGAGCCAGAGTGCAGCAGTGATGAGCTGGATCATGGTGTTCTGGCTGTTGGCTATGGCACTAGTGATGATGGCCAGGACTACTGGCTGGTGAAGAACAGGTAAACAACAACATATTGCATAATGTATCAAATAAAGCTAAGCCTATCAGATTGATCAAGAGCAACCATAAACCAATGGCGTTGCAGTTGCATTCTCTAATCTCAGTACTGTCAGAGATGGGCTCTGGTATAATATTTTAGTTAGCATTGGATGTGATACAAAACGAGGGTTGGGTAGGCTGTTGGAGTGTTTATCTGACTGTCCCCCCCCACACACTTCTATAACCAAAGTTGCGCCCCTGTCAATGATCGATGTTATGCTATTGCTAAATGCTAACTCAGTGGTTGCTGGATGTGTGTGTTCCAGCTGGGGCCTTGACTGGGGAGATAAGGGCTACATCATGATGTCCAGGAACAAACACAACCAGTGTGGCATCGCCACCGCTTCCAGCTACCCCCTGGTCTAAGGGTGAGTCTGACGGGCATCCGTGTCTATCGTAACTATATCTATGCTCATTTACTATCTCATATGTCTGACGGGCATCTCTATCTATCACAACTGTATCTATGCTCTAGTCTAATAACTAACACTACTAGCAGTGTCTATCTCAACTACATATCATTCACCTACTAGCAGTGTATATCTCAACTACATATCATTATCCTACTAGCATTGTCTATCCCAACTACATATCATTCACCTACTAGCAGTGTCTATCCCAACTAAATATCATTCACCTACTAGCAGTGTTTATCTCAACTACATATCATTCACCTACTAGCAGTGTTTATCTCAACTACATATCATTCACCTACTAGCAGTGTTTATCTCAACTACATATCATTCACCTACTAGCAGTGTTTATCTCAACTACATATCATTCACCTACTAGCAGTGTCTATCTCAACTACATATCATTCACCTACTAGCAGTGTCTATCTCAACTACATATCATTCACCTACTAGCAGTGTCTATCCCAACTACATATCATTCATCTACTAGCAGTGTTTATCTCAACTACATATCATTCACCTACTAGCAGTGTTTATCTCAACTACATATCATTCACCTACTAGCAGTGTCTATCTCAACTACATATCATTCACCTACTAGCAGTGTTTATCTCAACTACATATCATTCACCTACTAGCAGTGTCTATCTCAACTACATATCATTCACCTACTAGCAGTGTATATCTCTGGTCCTCTGTAGCTCAGCTGGTAGAGCACAGCGCTTGTAACGCCAAGGTAGTGGGTTTGATCCCCGGGACCACCCATACACAACAACAGAAAATGTATGCACGCATGACTGTAAGTCGCTTTGGATAAAAGCGTCTGCTAAATGGCATATTATTATTATCTCAACTACATACCATTCTCCTACTAGCAGTGTCTATCTCAACTACATATCATTCACCTACTAGCAGTGTATATCCCAACTACATATCATTCACCTACTAGCAGTGTATATCCCAAACACAAATCATTGAAATGGTAACCATGATGAGTTGATGTTGAACCACAGCCTTACTGTGTATGATCCCAGACAGAAGGGCCTTTGTGTACTGAGTAAAGACTCATGTTGGATTGAAGCTGAGCTACTTGTAAATAACTCATACACTTATATAAATTAGGCCAAATCAAATCCAATCAAGCTTTATTGATACAGCACATTTCAGACATGGAATGCAACGCAATTTGCTTTGCAGGAAAAAAAAACAATGAAAAAACAATGAAAATAAAAGATGAAATATTTACAACACAACAAACATAAGGTAAAAAACTGAAGAATGAGACAAACTGAACAACTATAAAGCACCCTGAGGAAAAGCAAAGCTGAAAATATGTGTTTTAAATATTCCACAAGGCCAAAAGTTCAGTCCGTTTGGCAATTCATCACACATTTTCCCACAAACTGATCATATCAACTTAACCTTCGTAATTCACAGTGATTAATGCACACTAGCTAACACTATAGCTCAGTACGTTGGTCAGTCGGTTTCTGTTGATTGTCAATGTTTTTGTCTTTCCCCTATACAGATCCAGGAGGGGATATCTGAATATTACGGACGGTGAAGATGACTTGAGACAGACAAACCAGAGCAATAATTTAAGATAATTTTGTTTTTGTAGCAATAACCTGAATTTTTAGATGTTGTGCATTATTTATTTGGTAGTTGAGGGTCACACATTTCACTATACAGTACCTCCAGAAAATAGTCCTGTGCTAAGAATGTTATTAATGCGCAAAAAAAACACTAAAAATCTTTCTGATTTTCGAATGTAAATACATGTAAAGAAGAAAATAAAAGTTTTATGTCTGTGCAACTATTTGTGGTGGAAATTCAATGCGTGTTTCATTGTGGGACCATTAAGGACAAAGTACCTTATTAAAATGTGTTCCCTATTCTAAAGTGTAGGCTAAGCATATTTTTACTTGACCTCATTGGACAGAAAGGTCCACATCTTTTTCTCATCTTTGTGGATTATATTACCTTATCTCACAAGTGTTTATAGTGCATGGAAAAATCCCATGTTTCTATAATAACATACCTATACTGTATTAATATAATAGGATGACCATCATTCATTACTCTTCACTATGCTAAGCTGCCTCTGTCTACACACAATTTATGTGTTCATTTTACCAGTGTAATGAATACTCAGGGAGAAAAAGGTGTAAATTCACGCGCAGAGCGCGGCAGGTGTTTATTTCGCCTTCCGCAGAAGGCAGGAATCGTGGTCACAGGCAGGCAATGGTCATACACAGGTAGGCAAACAGGCAGGAGAATCAAAAACTAGGACTGAAGGCTATAACTGGTTCTCACAAACGAGCTAGGAAAAGGCTTAGTAGAGTCAAAACGAACAATACCTCACAAGGCACAAACAGAATGAACTGAACTAAATAAGGAGCTGATGAGACCAGGTGAGTAACTAACACAGGTGAAATCAATGAACAAAAATGAAAGACAGGCCTACGTTCAAGAACACAAAGAAACAGGGCTACGTTCAAGAACACAAGGTTGACTAAGAAAATAAATACAGAATCTTACAACCAGTAGGTTATAGGCTATGTCTATTTGGACCCCTAACATGTGCTTATAGGATATGGCAATCCCTGCACTAGTAGTGCATTGTTTCACACATAGTGTTGTCACTATTATCACCTGTATATAGTACTGTATGTCTTTGTTTCATAGTTTGATGGTATGAGCTCTGACGTAGTGGATAAATATCAGCAGAAGTCAAGCAGAAATATCCATCTCACTTCTGGACAGATAGTATGACTTCTGACGTAGTGGATAAACATCAGCAGAAGTCAAGCAGAAATATCCATCTCACTTCTGGACAGAAGCTATTGTGTAATGTGTACATCACAGGAGGCTGCTGAGGGGAAACGGCTCATAATAATGGCTGGAACGGAGCAAACGGAATGGCATCAAACAGCTGGAAACCATGTGTTTGATGTATTTGATACCATTCCACCTATTCCGCTCCCGTCATTAACACGAGCCCGTCCTCCCCAATTAAGGTGCCACCAACCTCCTGTGGTGTACATGGTTACGCTCCGTTAGCTTTCTGACTGATGGTCTGTTGTGTTTGTGTTGTGTCTGGGTGTAGCCTAACCGGTGGCTATGAGAACTGATTCTGTTCAGTGGTTCACCAGATCAGTGACCACAGCGTAGTCTGCGATTAGAATAACATTGGTGCTTTCAGATCTAGAGGGAGATCTTCAGAGAGGAGGTAAGCCATTCCTGAGTATTTTTGTGTGCGTGTGTGTATGTGTGCGTGTGCGTGTGCGTACTTGCGTGTGTGTGTTTGTTTGCTGTATCAGATAGGGGAAGAGATAGAGGTGTACTTTTGAATAGATCATTTGTATATATTGAGTGTATGCCTATATACACACTGAGTCTGTCTGTGTGTTCTCTACCTCCACCTATCTAGAATGAAGGATTTTGTGCTCCTCATGTTTTTGGTTGTTACTGTGGCATTTGTGGTGTCTAAACCCCTTGGTCCAGACGGGAGTAACAACCCCCCTCGTCCAGACGGAGTAACAACCCCCCTCGTCCAGACGGAGGTGACAAACCCCCTCGTCCAGACGGAGTAACAACCCCCCTCGTCCAGACGGAGTAACAACCCCCTCGTCCAGACGGAGGGTGACAACCCCCCTCGTCCAGACGGAGTAACAACCCCCCTCGTCCAGACGGAGGTGACAACCCCCCTCGTCCAGACGGAGTGACAACCCCCCTCGTCCAGACGGAGTGACAACCCCCCTCGTCCAGACGGAGGTGACAACCCCCCTCGTCCAGACGGAGTGACACCCCCCCTCGTCCAGGCGGAGGTGACAAACCCCCTCGTCCAGATGGAGGTGACAACCCCCCTCGTCCAGACGGAGTAACAACCCCCCTCGTCCAGACGGAGAGGATGAAGCAGAGGTGGACAAGGAGTTTGAGAAGTTCAAAGCTCAATTCAGTAAATCTGGTTCTACTCACCAAGGTGAAATAGGTTGATTCATATTTCCAGTGTCCACATGGAACAAATAAATTAGAAATTGCACTTTTAGTTAGAATGTAGGCTAACACAAAATGCTAATAGAGAGAACCTGTGCATTTGCAGACAAGACCTATGAGTCCCCTCAGCAAGAAGCCAAGTGCAAGCTGATCTGGCCAAGAGGAAGATGGTGATGGAACACAGCAAGAGGGCGGAGAATGGCCTGGAGACATACGCTATGGGGTTGAATTACTTCTCTGACCTGGTATGGTACTGTCTTGGTCTGTCAAACTTGAGTAGTCAAAAAGAACGGTCTAGCAATGACTTTCGATATCTGGGTGTTTCATGGTAACTAATTGTGAGTCTCTGTCCCTTTGCTTCATGTTATAGAATAGGGATGAGATTCCTCTAGGACTTTTGCCCTTCCCACATGGTGCCCCAATCCAGCCATTCAAGGATATGGTATGGCTCATTACAATGCACAGGATCACAGAGTAGAATGATGGATAATGGGATGTTCTTATGTCACGTCTCTCAGTTGTTGACTTTGCTTCCTCTTACAGAAAAGGGATCGGTCCCTGTCCCCATAGGAGCACCCTTTGAGTAACTAATTTTGGTTCCAGGTAAAATCCTTTTGGGTTCCATGAATAACCTTTCCACAGAGGGTTCTACATGGAACCCAAAAGGATTCTACCTGGAACAAAAAAGGGTTATCCTATGGGGATGGCTGAAGAACCCTTTTGGAACCCATTTTCTAAGAGTGTACACTATATATCAGTGATATTCATGCACTACTAGACATGATCATCCTCAAACACCACATGATCTTATCATGTTGACGAAACAACAAGCTGCCCGTAGAATAAATAAAATACCCAAGATTCTATATGGCTCCTCATACAGTCAGTAGGTTATGGTGAAGGGCCTTGTCTTGTGTCTCAATAATACTGTTTTTGTGATCCCCAACAGCCTAA